CATAAATTTACTTAAATTAATCAATTGGATTTTTCGAATTCAATCTGTGTGACTTTTAAATGCTTTGATGCATTCAACTGTTACCATTTTTTGATGGCCAACAAATCAATGGAAGCGGCTAAACACTCGAAATTATTGGAATAAATTAATGCAAGTGAGCAAACACGATTTCTTTCACCCTTTTTTTTCTACAAGGGATTGAAGCTCTCTTTTTGCGCTTGCCTATATTGCTTTACTGGCAACAATTGTTTCGGAACGAAAAAATATCCAATGCATTTAATCGCGTCATCTGTCGCCTTTCAACCGCTTTTCCACTTTTATTACGTGTTTTAAACAATCGGTCAGGAGTTAGTTGATTCACGCAAAAAAAGGGATGAGCCCAGCGACGACTTTTTTTTAACAACTATAATTGGCAACTGAAATTTAACTCATCGGATAAATTTTGCAATTTTCTATCGTTCATAAAATTCCATTTTTTTCCACATCGTTCATAAGATTTATGGTAAATACAAGTGTTAAGCCGATCTCAATAATGGAATCAATTGGATTTCAACGGCGACAACAATTTTACAATGTTCAATGAAATGATAACTCGTTACAAAGGGTTTTTTTTTGCAGAAAGAGTGTGTTTAAACAATTGGATGTGGTGAAAAGTTTCGATGAAAAATTCATTGAAATTGTAGAGTAGGTAAAAGAGTAGGAAGCAAAAGAGTATAAAAATGAACCATATGGTTTTTTCACATAGAGCAGCAAAACGGCTTTTAAAACTATGCCATTGTCACCATATAAAGATTTTTTTGAAGTGTCGACTTCGGTTTCACTTCCCAATACTATTGCAATAAATAAATCCGCTTGAAATCTTCACTTCGTTTTTTTTTTAAACCCCGAATCCAAATTGAAATTGTTGCGGAACAAATGAATTTGTTATATTTCGTTTTTTTTCAATTTTAGACAAAAAAAAGGGTTGATCAACCCGGTTGATGCTTGTTCGAAGTGAAATAAATATTATTTTGACCTTTTAATACCAACAAATGAAAACCATAAATTAATCTTTTGCCCTCTTTGTCGACTTAAAACTTGACAGACAAAAAAACTAGTGGAAAAAATGCGTTGAAGTACCAATTTTGACACCGCAACACCATTTTTTTTAGAGTTAAAAAAAAGAAATGTTTGAACTGAATGCAATGTGTGTAGAAAGGACACAAAAGTATTTTGTTTAGAAGAATTATGATCCGGAACAAAGTATGTCAAATGGCTAAACAATTTCATTAATGTGTTCATGGTATCAACACTCGATTTGTTACTCCTCGAGCATTATGTGCTAGCGAATTTTCCTCTGATTCAATCCATACTTTTTATTGAAATAAAAGTTTGGTTCGTTGAGTGAACAAATTGTTACCTTCAATGAACCACTGGTTCATTTTTCGGTTGGTTTCGTTAGCTTCAATGAACCAGACAATTGTGGACAATGTCAACATGACATTGAACTTGATTTCAATTGAATTTAACCAATTGAGATTAACCAAATTGGTGCAATTCAATTAAGATTAGAGTCTTTGAAAAAACTTCAACGTTAGTTTACACTGTGTCGAATAGCTGAAAATCTATCTAATACTATAGATCAATGAGTTTGTTTTAAACCGAATGCAATCATATAAAGAGCGTAGAATAAGGCAGAGAAAATGAATTTTACGGAAAATGCCAAGAAAATCATCTATAAATGCAACTAAAAGAGCTATTACTGATAAATAAACGCAGAAAATGGTGGCAAAAATGATGTTGATGCAAAAAATGCACTCCAAGAATGAGAAAAAACCTCATTTTCGAGAAAAAATCATTCATTCAACGATTTTCTGCATCACTGACGAAGTAAAAGTAAATTCAAATGGGCAAAAAAGAACATAAATCGAATGAATTGCAGAGTTTACATGGTGAGCACACATCGCAGGCACCAGAACGCACATTGCCATTGGTAATAATGCCATTAATTGAATGAAATGCTATTATAAAGTGGTTTATTGCCACATTGACATCAGATTCACATCGTTGTGATTTAAACTTCCGTACTTTTTCTTTCTCTCTTTCACTCTCTCTCTCTCTTTGCCTCTCTCTTGCTCTTAGTCTTTTCTCTCTCTCTCTCTCTCTCTCTCTCTCTCTCTCTCTCTCTCTCTCTATCTCTCTTATCATCAAGTGCATATTTCTTCTCTTCAAATGATTCAATATCTACGTCTGCATCACCCCGCCTCTAGGAAAACAAGAGAAGCCGTTCCATTTCATCGTCGTGCATTCAATGACGATGCATTTTTCCACGTGATGACATTTTTCCAGCAAAGCGTTTGTAAATGCTCAATGAAAATTGAATAATTTTCAAATGGATTGAAAGCGTTTTTTTTCCTTCGTCTATTTAAAGCCAAAAGCATTTTTCGATAGAAGAGTGTTTTTTTCCCTGGTTATACTGCTTTTGGGTGAGCTAATTCATTTAAAAGTCGCTTTATGCACACATGCACTTAAGCGTAATTTGCAAAATCCGTCGGTGGCATATACACCGTACGATACGTATGCGCTACAGTGGAATTCCAAGTGCACACACTTAAACTGATTAAAATGCATTCAGTATGTGTATGGTAAACGAATCCATATTCTCCCATTCCCTTCGCACCAAAAAAATTGCAATGAAGTCACGATTTCGACAAACATGCCATGTTCAGCAGGTGAAACATGCACATTTATCCCATCGGATGATACGCTCATAAATTATTATTTATTTATCCACAAATGTCTTTTCGATGAAATGCAATCCAAGTTCTGCTGATGCACGATATATGCGGGGGTTTCAATTGGTATACGCACCCGGGGGCCTTTTTCTTCGTTAATTAAGGAGAAACTTCGAGTTGATTAGAGGCACTGAATGACATGCATTTGACGCAACAAATGGGATAATTGGATTTGACTCTTCAATCAATGCACATTTTTCGATCGAGAAAATGAACGCACTGTGCGCTTATGCAGAGAGATGCGGAAAGAATGTAAGAGAGATAGGGAAAGAGAATGAAGAGGAAAAAGTGCACTCTGCAAATTGCCCGGAACTGCTGCGTCAATCGACACACCTTGTTACATGAACCAGACGAAAAATGGGATGTAATCACCAAGGACATGCTTATAAAATTGCTACACAATTTTATCGAGATAATTTGGAAATTCAATCAAACGGTTTCATTACTTCCGATGTCACATTGATGTAGTAGTCTACGCGTACAGCGAATTTTGGGTTCTCTGCTATTTATACTCTTGTATCTTCTTCCTTTGTCTTTTACGAAGAGTATACTAAAATAAAGCCTCATTATCACAAATGGTTGTGTCTCAGTTGAATAGAGATATCTCCGAAAATGTATGCATGAATGGAATAAAACGGTACTTCAGCCCGACCACTTCAGTAATTCTCTTTCATCTTCATTTATTCTTGTCACTGCAGAGAGACTCCTTTCAGTTGATTCAATGTACTCTATTCCAATAGACCGAATGCTTTTTTAGTTAATTAGGTTAGAGGTATTTATCAAGATTCAAGTAAATATTTCTTATATTTGTCACTGTGAACGGTCACATGACTCATATTGATGGCCATCATTTTTCATTGATTCCCGAAATGTAGACAAATTTTTCACGATATGTGCTGTCCAAACTATTGGTCACTTGGCCATTTGTAGCCACGCGAATAGAATTAGTGGCATTTGCAAGACGAAAACGGCAAAAAGAGCCACATTGTGGCAATGACAATAAAAGCAGTAGATTGTTCATTGAATTTTCGTCGTTACGTTTAAGGGTCCACAGCATTCAACCTTGAGGTCGATGCCATTTTGTTGGGCAGTCATCACATTGGTCATGGCTATGCATCACTGATGCAGCATCAGTGCCTCGACAAAACCAATTTGCGCCCCGATGCAAACGAAAAATTTTGCGCCTTTTCCGAAATTTTCTAATATAAAATTCATCAAAATCATAATAATGAGCTAAATGAGCAATTTTCTTCTCTCTATGATTTCAAAAATATCGGTAAAAACGTAAAAATGGCAAATTATTGCAATCATGTATTCAATTTGAAAATATGCTTCGCTACAATGATCGTTCTGATATCGATGAAAAAGATTTATTTAATGTAATTGTAAATCATGGCCACATTAACAAAAGAACGAAACATCGACCATGTAAAATTACTATCCGAATTTTCATTGATTAATTTATATTAAAAAAAAATTCGGAAAAGGCGCAAAATTTTCGTTTGCATCGGGTGCAAATTGGTCTTGCTGAGGCACTGTCCTCCACTGATAATGCTAGTAAAATCTCCGTTTGATAACCACCGCTAGTGAAATCTGATGACTACAGCAAGTGATTATTTATTTTCATTGCGTATGATTCGGTTTGATTTGTAGTACGAATGCAGTTGCACTTGTTGAATTTTCAGGAGGACGTTTCTTGCGTTATTTGCTATTTGTGGCTTTGCTCAGGTTTGCAAACCTTGATTATTATTCATGATTTTTAAATGAGATATTCGATGGTATTTATAATGGGTGCTGCCATAATTTTTTTTTACATGATATCATAACTTCATTTATTTTCGGATTAAACTTCACGTTTGAATTTTGTTTCGTTTGAAACTATCTTTTTTGGTCTCAAATAGTGTTTCTTTGGCAAATTGTAAACGGTTCAAAATAATCGATTCCAAATTCTCTGCTCTATCAAACTAAAACTACCATTTTCTATTCATTTCATACCAAGAATGCATAGCACAGTTCATATTTTTCGGTGATAAAATTTAACACAATGTGTACGGAAAAGTAAAAGGAAAACTCTATGTCGTACGCGCAAAAGAGCGCATGAAGATTTCGCGAAGAATTAATTCAATGATGAAAAGAGATTCACAATCGAATTTAATGGTTAAAAAGCTAAGCAAAAAGCTATTCGCAGCAAATATAGAAAAACAACAATTACATAAAAATAATATAAGATCATGGGCGATTGAATACAATATTCAAAACAGGGCATTATCGGCACTTCTGAAAATTTTGATTACATTCGGTTCAAGAAACCTGCCAAGTGACAGCAGGTCTCTCCTTAGAACTCCACGCTCTATTCAAATTGAAAATACAGCTGGCGGACAATACTGGTACAACGGAATCGGAAATTGTTTGAGAAACGTTTTTGGAAAATTGAATTCGAATATAACTTTAGAATTGAATTTCAACGTCGATGGCCTACCGTTGTTTAAAAGTTCTCCAGTTACATTCTGGCCGATTTTGGCAAATATACATGGTTTGTTTAACCACTGAATTTTTTACTTGAATTGAAAAACGTTTTTTCAAAATTATTTTGACCACTTCGATCGGAAATGTTCGAGTCAAACCCACAACAATGTAACATTAACGTATTATTTCAAATATTCTCGTTTAAAAAATTTGAAGGAATGTCCGATGTCAAGCCTATGGTAATAGGTATCTGGAGTGGAATTGGGAAACCAAAGGATTTAACAGATTTCCTACAGCCTCTTGTGAGCGACATCGACACTGTAATTAGAAATGGTGTTATGATCAATGAGTATAGAATTGATATAGTCATTAGATGCTTCCTGTGCGACTCGCCAGCACGATCATTTATAAAAGGTTTTATTACTTTTTTAATTAATTACTCTTATGCAAACCTTTTGCGTTTTATATAAGATACTTAAAGTAACATTTCACTTGGGCAGGTATAGCATATTTCAACAGCAAATACGGATGTCAAAAATGTTATTGCATTGGCGTGTTTGATAAGAATGCACGGCGTATGCATTTTGCGGAATTCAACAAACCGAAACGCACGAATAATCAGTTCCTCAACAGATTCCAAAAAGAACACCACCGAGAAGAATCAATTCTCCAAGATTTGAAGAATCTGAATGGAGAACCACTGATTGATATGATCAAACAATTCCCGACGTCGGATCCACTTCATTTATTAGAAGAAGGCGTAATGAAAAAATTGTTGAATATTTGGATGCATGGGAAAGATTCATATAAGAAGAAGTGGTCAAAAGAGATACAAGAAATCCTAAGTGCGCAGATTTCAATTTATAATAAAGAGCTTCCAAGTGATATAAACCGCAATGTTCGAACTTTGCAGTTCATAAAATACTGGAAGGCTACAGAATTTCGTACTGTGCTATTATATTATGGAATGGTCGCCTTTAAAGATTACTTAGGGGAGCAGGAATATATTCATTTTTTGAACTTGTGTCTCGCTGTCAGAATATATTCTTGTCGCAGTTATGTAAACAAATATAAAACAATTGCTCGTAAACTCTGTTTGGTATATTGTGAAAAATTTGGACAAATTTATGGAATCAATAATATTGTAAGCAATATCCATAATGTTATTCACATATGTGATGATGTAGACCAATTTGGTCCTTTAACAGAAATAAGTACATATCCATTTGAAAATTTCTTACGAGAAATTAAGATGCGCGTAAAACCATCAAATACAAACATTGAACAAATCAGTAGAAGGCTTGTCGAAATGTCTTTGGACATATCAGAAAATAAGAAAATCGATATGAATGCGAGACAACGGGAAAAGAGTTCCTGGACTCCTGAATTAAAATATCAATTTAATTCTTCAAATCAATCGACTTTCAAATTTATTAGAATAACACCAAATGTATTTTTTTCTGTAAAGAAAATAGGCGATAGATGGTTTTTGACCAAAAGTGGTGATATAGTAGAAATGAAATACGCAATTAGAAGCAAAAATTCATATTTTATTATAGGAGAACCAATTAAACGCAAATATGATTTTTTCATGGAACCATATTCTTCACATAAAACAGATATTTTTCTATGTGATACGGAAAAAAATAACGAAAGAATGTATCACTATGGTGAAATCAAATCCAAATTAGTATGTCTCACTTACAAGGATCAATTTGTTTTCATCCCATTGATTCATTCGATAGATGAATGTTCAGAATTTTTATCAAAATAGTATTTAATTATTTATTAAAAAATTATTGTTCTACCAACCGAGAAATATTTTTAGAGTATTTTTTATTCGGATTTATATGTGAAATTTACTAATAATCGTACTATATACTGTGCATAAATTTTGGTAAAAAATTCCACAATTTGAGATCTTTTGCATCAATTTTATGCGATATTTGTGCATATACTAAAATGCACGAATTACCATTTCATTTGGTTCAGTGGGGTCCCCATTGACGAAAGATCTTTGGGTGCAAATTCAAAAAAGAATCGCTTATACTCAATTTTAAGTAATTTTTTCCGTGCGTATGAGAAAAAAACTGCATAATTCCCATTTTTCTGCTTGCTTGAAAACAGTTGAAAGGTATGAAAATGCTAAAAATTGTATAATTTTAAAATTCGATGCCCACGAGACATTGCATCTATGTGATTGCACGGAATATAAATGGTTTGCCATGAGCAATTGGGTTGTAATGTAAAAAAATATATATTGATGTGTGGTTTTATATCAAAACTGGAGTTTATTTGTATTATTTGCGTCCAAACAATGTAGAAAAGAAGTAGAAAAAAAATTTGTATAGTTTTCATGTCATGGAAACGTGTAAAATTTGCATCCGTTTATTTAGTTGTTCCGCTGTTGGGTACAGTGTAGCAAATTGCCATTATCGTTTTGGCTGTGAGGTTTTTAAATGCGCGACGTAGTGTAAATACCTCTTTTTGGAGCAACATTGTTGCGGTTCCGTTCATAAACCAATGCAAAAATTCGTCGTGCATTTAAAATAAGTATTTCGGGTTGGTACATGGCTGGTTCCGACAATCTCGAAATTGTCCTGCAGGTATTTTCTATAAGCCAACCGAACCGTAACAAAGTATAATTGCTAACCAAATGCATTCGCATTGTATATAATTCGGCTGACATTTCAATTCCTAGTATTTTCTCTTAAATATGAAATGCGAAAGGATTTCCATTTTTTCGTCTGTGTGTGTGTGTACGTGTGCAAATTTTCCGGCACTGGTTTCGAGCATCGAATGTAATCTAGCAATTTATGTTGAATGAGATTGCTGAAGCGAATATGCTTGGAACAAGTAGCCGACTGCTGCTGTTGCTGTATTAAAAATAAGCTAATTTTTATCTCCATTGCCATTCATATTATTATTTTGCACAAATTATGGCAACAGATTGTACGACGATATTTTTTTTCCGTTGGCAATTCGCTTTTAACAGAAATTCGACCAAAGGCTTGGTTCACTTGAATTCAACGAGATTCGTTGACTTGACTTCGACAGCTATCGCAAATGCCACCCCATGGCCCGTGACCGTAAACAAAAACTTTAATATACAATAAAATAAACAGACTCACATTTAGATTGCACAAAAAAATAAAGTCTTGGTGTTTTCCGTCTGGTCGCAATAAAACGATAACATCAACCGACTCATTTTTTTTCGGACGTTGACGAAGAGATGAGAAACACCAAAACAAATGACGTTGATGATAATGACAATGAACGGCATCCCAATAAAATGTGAAATATCGGTTAACCATTCTTTCGGAATTTTTTTTCACTTCAGACGCCCTTTTCCACCTACCTCCATTATTCCTCCTGAATAGTGTGAGTTCTTCTTATTCAAATTGTTCTACAATTTTGACGTCAGCATTGAAATAGTGTTTCAAATGAAAAACTCAATGAAATACCCAACAAAAACATTAAGCACACCGATTTCCATTCAAAAAATAGTCACACACAAAAACTTTTTTCCTTTTTGACCAAATCACTTTTTGAAAGCATACGTGCTAGAAAAAGAAGCATCGTTTTTGTAAAGGATTTCATTAAATTGCCATAAAATCCTTCACGTCATTTAAGTGCACAGCAAAAAAATCGACAGAAAAAGGTTCAACTTTGCATTTGTCTGTGTTTTATGCATGCGCCAACGATGTCTCTCTTTTTAATGTAATTAAAATATTTAGTTAAAATTGAAAAAGCGATTAAATCCATTTGCATGCGATGCACACATTTTCGGGTGGCTGTACACTGTACAGGCACTTGTGCATATTTTCATTCATGTACAGCGTATACTATCATTGAACTGCCCTTTTTGAATGACAAGAAATTTTTACAACGCTTCCACATGTCTTCGTCGCGATGAGCGTTCGAAAAAAAACGGACGCATTTGAATTTTTGACCATTGAAGTTTTTTCCCCGCTTTGCTTCCATAGAAAATGTCGTAAAATTTGCAGAAAAAAAACCACCACCAGATCGGCATTCATTCTTTGAGATTACTGTGCTAAAAGTCAAATTACAAAGCGAAACGGTTTTATGTCTTTTGGTATTTTAGGTGCAATTTTCTATTTATGACTGAGCCTCACTGGAGAAGAGAGAGCAAAAGGGATTGAGAGAGTGAAAGTGAGAGAGCAAGAGAGATTGAGAGAGCAATTAGAGAGAGGGTGAGAGAGAGAAAATAGCGGAAGAGAGAGAGAGAGAGCGAGGGAAAAAAGTCAATTTAGCAATGGAAAAATGACAAATATACGTGTCTATCGTGAGTGAAAAAAAGCGAATCGAGTGTGATGACCAACTATTTGATATTGACGGCAGACTCAAATGCTTTAATCATTTATGAGCGCCGTTTACAACGAGGGTGCCGTTGCACCAAATCGTGTCTCTCATTTTGCGTATTCATATTCTTTTTGGTCGCGAATATTCAATTTTACGTAATTTTTTTGTCATTCCACCCACCTCTCCCCCACCAAAACAAAACATCCACCACTTTGGCAATATCGCATATGGTCGCACCGTGCAACAAGACGTAGAAAAAAGAGAAAAAAAACAGTTCAATTCAAAATATGCGACGGCGGAAATAATCACACCAACCGAGGGATGAAGAGGTGTATAATTCAAATTGACAACAAGAGACTCGGGCCACATACGAATTAAACCACGACATGTCATTAAATTACCACTTTCGGCCAACGTTTCGGTGTATTCAAAAGAATTCTGCATGCGATGAATGGAGTGAAATCATTTGTGCTCGTTCCATCACCGCCGCCATCGTCGACCGACCAACCGACGAATATTGTTTGTAACACATTTAATTTCAATGTACTGTTTCGGTCATTTAACCGGAATTCAACAGAGAAATTTTCCATATGAATTGAAAAACATTCTTGGCTCCAAGCTAAAATATAAAAAAAAGCGCAATTCGACGCTTTGCATTTCGTTTTTTTTTTGTTTCGTAACGGGTATTATCTTCATTTTGAAGCAGGAGAGACTGTAAAAAAAAAAGGTTGATTGAACCGTTCTTTATTTGAAAATGAACATTCATCCCTGTTTTTAGTCTCCCCAACAAAAAGTCGCCATGAAATCATAATCATCATTTAGCTGATTTTGCGTTTAGTTGTTTTCGATTGAATTTTTCAATTTGATGCGAAACGAGACAAACGCGTACTCCATTGAGCTCTGGACGAGTTTCTATGGAAATTTCAATGGCTTTTGTTCATTTCGGAATTTCATTTCTTTTTTTTTTCTGAACGCTTGAAATCAATATTATTCAACAAATATTTTTCCAATTTTTCACAAACCATTTTCAATTTGTTGGCGCTACGTGTTGCCATGCACACATCAAATGCCATATCTATATCTTGGATCGTCGGTCGCCAACGAAATTTATTCATAACATGTCTCATGTTGTCGACTTATCAATGGCAATTTAGATGTAGCCAATCTTCGGGCTGCACTTGTTGTTGTCAAATGGATTCAATTCACATTCCTGTTCAGTGTTCACGGGTGAATTTCGATTCTGAGCATTTGTGAATTTCCGCATCGCTATGTGCTTAATGAAATGTAATTTGTTTAACCAGTCCAATGGCAACCGAATACTCGGAATGGAAACATATTCTCTTTTTTACTTTTTCTGCCGAAAATATACCATTCAAACTTATCGTGAACAAGTTACATAGCATCTTCAACA